GGAGGATGAGTGGCATTGAAGGGTTGCTTTAGGCGCTCATTTACTTCCCAGCAGAGGCTTTGCAGGCTGGATGCAAAAAGTGGTGGTGGTGGTGGCGGTGCTGGTGGTGGGGTTGCGGCGGCTGTGGTGGCCCGAAATGGCGGCGGCAGCGGTGGTGGTCTTCGCTACTACCGACAGCGGCAGTCGCAATACCAGTAGCAGTCGCAGCAGCAGCAGTAGCAGCAGCGGCAGCATCAGAGGTAGTAGGAGCACTAGTTTCCGGTAAGAGAGCGTGAAATTGCGTCGAGAGTTGAAATTTGGTTTGCTGCGAGGTATTCCCCTGTACCGGTCCGGGTGGAGACTGCGCCACTCGGTGTCAAATGTTGTGCGAGGAATGACCCACGACGCGCACAGTCCTTCCCGCTTCTTCTAGATCTGATCCTAATCCAGACCGCCTCAATTTTCAGGACCCGGAGCCCCGAAATCAGAGCCCCCGGCAGCGCCGCGAGATCGACATACGACCTGGGCCTGCTGGAGTGAGTGTGTGCATTTGGATGAACGGAGCCCCATTTAAATTTGCATCCGAATATTTTACAAGCCCACGAGCGCTTGGATCTTCTGTGGCGAAGCACTAAAGCCAGAGAACAGAGCAGCTGTACTCAGGCCCTATGGTCCATCAAAGCCGGGGCCCGATCTGGGCCCTGCTGTGTGTGCTGCAAGGATTTAACACCGAGGGCTGCCCTCTGAGGCTTTTAGGGTGCAGGTTGCAAGGGCAAGTTTGTTTGTTTCGTGAGCTCAAGAGTGCTGATGGCCCGTCTAGTACTGCTGAGCTCAGGGTACAGTGGAGGCACCAGCAGCGAATGATGAGCCCAGGTGAATACGGGGCACCTACCCACTTGCGGAGGCCGGTGTCTTTGTCTTTGTCCACTGTACAGAAAGTTTCATATCCAACTGTGCAAGAACGGGTTTCGGGACTGGGCACCCCAAAGCCGGGAGTGACTTTTACCCTCCACGGCCCTGCCAGTGGCATGGCCATGACAGTTTGCGCTTACCTGGGACCGACATTTCGGTGAGATTTTTGGATGTGGAGAAACTGGGAGATTTGCGGAACAAGTTATGGCTCGGTCTGCATTTATCATGCATTAGGGAAGCTTTCACTTGGAAACTGAAAGGTGGGAGATCTGAGCCCTAGCCCTGTCCGTTCAAGCATCAAGCATTAGCACCCCTATCCTCTTGCAGTCTCTAGTGTATACTCTTCCCTTGACCTTGTTCTAACCATTCCTTAACCCCAAGTAACCTACCTTTTAAGGACTTACACAAAGAAATCATATTGGGGAACCCTAAAAAGGAGGTTCCTAACCCTAAACCCTTGTTACTGCTTCTTCGTTGAAGCTTGTAGGGCTCGGGGAGATGGATCGGACACCAGGAGCTGGCAGGGAGTCCAAAATTCAAGCAGAGCGGTTTAGGGGTTGAGGGTTTAGGGCTGTATTCCCGAGGATCCAAAAAGTACATCCCTTAATGGGGGTTCCTATAAAGTACTCTTAGTAGGGCCCCATATTAGGGGATCTACTTTCTGGATCCTCCCGGGGGTCTTTGTTTCTGGAGGCGGGACGCCCCCAAGGCAGAACACGATTCGTAGGAAGAAGTCGTCCGAGGTTTCATCGTCACCATTGAGGCTGGTGCTGTGGAGTCGGAGGAGGGTACTGGCGCCAATGAGTTGGGCGCTTGGCTTCCCAGGCTTGGCGTTTGTAGTACTGAAGTAGGCCGCAATATGGGCGGCGTTTATTATTACCTACACTATTTTGAGGGGTTCCTCCTCATAATGGGCCCCAAAACCCTCTTCTAATTTAGTTAGAGCCCAGAATCTACCGGCTGGGCCATAATGCCGGAATGGCCCTTCACCAAATGGTGCATTTGCGTTCCGAGCAAGCAGTGGTCCATGGAGCTGGAAGAAAAATGTAAGAGGGTTCAGCACTGGAGTTTCTCGTGTTTGCTTACTTACAGCTTCCGTTCTGAGGCTTTGGTGTTTGAGCTAAAGTCTCCTGCGTGCGGTGCATGTGCATTCTGCTGCGGCAAAGAAGGGGCCTTGACACGAGCTGGCTGATCTTGAGTTTCTTTTAGGGGCCTTGATAACTTAATAGTTGTCAATACTATTCTGTGGGTTCCTTATTATACTTATAGTGCAATGAGCCCCAAAGCCCTGTTCTGATTAAGGCCCGTATATTGTTACATAGTGGAGCTTGAGATGTGGGTTGTTTTTTTCCGGAGCGTTTTTGTCCGGAACCTTGAATGCTTGACAGTAGCTTTCTGAGCGCAGTTGAAGCCCAGTTGGCCTAGTTTTGTAAGATTGCAGCATGAGGCATTCATTCGATGATGTTCTTTGGCCCGGCTCATTTGGATGGCCCTGACACCGCGTAAGTTGCTGGAACCCGCATGGAAGATGTTAGGAGGCATGGAGCATTGGTTGAAAATCCTCACTGGGTTGTGCATGTGCAGGATTTCGAAGACTGCTCATAATTCCAAAGCAATCCGCCAAGGAGAAGCCAGTATGTTATACATGTAGGTATATGTATATATACAGATACAGTATGTATGTTGACTGAAGCTCCAAGCCTATGCTGTGAGAGTTACGAGAGTTCAGACCAGGCTGACCCGGAGTTGGATCCAGTCAGAGCACCATTGCGCGAGCTTCAGACTGCCGGTTGTTGTTGCTGGGGTCGGGGTTGCTGAGATTGTGTTGCGGATCAATATCTGCCTGTGTCAACGATGTCTACCCCAAAGCAGACACGTGCGTGTATGTGTGCATGGATGCATTAATGTTTATTTCGTGGTGTAACGACGTACCTAGATACATTGCGAGTGTTTGTGTGTGTGTGTGTGTTAGATTTCGAAGCGTATCAATATTCATCATCCCCCAGCAAAGCAAAGAGGACTGCTCATCAGGGGTCCCAGGGTGTAAGCTCGGTGTTGGGCATTTGAGAATCCGGTGCATGGGTCGCTAAGTCAAATAAATCTTAACACTGAACACCTGGTTAGATCGTGGCAGAGTTTGTGAGACCGCTTCAATTTTTTTGCCGGAATCTAAACCTTGAATGGTCAAGAGGAAGGTGTGTCGTGCTTGCCCTTTCTGATTCTGCTTCGGGAATTAGGAACAGGAGCTTCAATCTCTTGGGATCTCGATGTATCACCCATCTGGACGCGAGTAGAGATAAACTCAACTTTGTTTGATTGTGCTACAGACACTCGACTGATGTCATATGAGCCTGAATCATTCGCAATGCTATTCCGTACTGGCTCCTTACTACAGTCATGGTGTTTATGCATCACCGGGACTCAAGTCTCGACATACAGAGGATACGTATGCTCAATGCCATGCACATAGACTGCGGAGAAGCAGAGAGGCCGCAGGCCCGTTCGATGCGGCCAGCGTGGAATTGAGTTATACTGTTATACTATATATACTATATGTACTCTATATACTATATATATATATATATATATATTATATACTATACTATATATACTATATATACTATATATACTATATATACTATATATACTATATATACTATATATATATATACATATATTTATATATATATATATATACATATGATCGGCAGAGAGCCTTTGGGATCTTCTTGAGCAGTCTAAGGGTGAAAGAGGGTTGCAGTGCCTCGTAGGTTTAGTAGTAGTAGTAGTAGTAGTAGTAGTAGTAGTAGTAGTAGTAGTAGTAGTAGTAGTAGTAGTAGTAGTAGTAGTAGTAGTAGTAGTAGTATATGTATATGTATACTACACATAAAGCGATAGCTCGAAATGCCCCTAGATCCTGCTTTACTGAAATCTTTGGGGCCCTTTCTCAGAGCGTAGCAGCGGGGCCCAGGTCCCCGGTGGGCGGAAGGCAGCTCGCTTGGGGCCTGGCCAGCTCCAGGGAATGTAGGGTTTTTGTTAGGGCTATTGGGTTTTAAAGATTTAAGAGTCCAAACATGGAGTGCATCTGCGATTCCCCCGTGATTGCTGCTGTGTCGCAGTTTGGTTTGCTGTTGGGGTGAGCTGTATGTATGTCTCTCCCGTCGTAAGCCATGGCCTCAGAGCGAGTTCAAGAAAAAGGCTTAGGTCCACTTGGGAGGGCCGAAGGAAGCCTAGTAAACGTTTCTGCGATTATTTCTGTCACGCCGGCACTATCGGGTTGGTGTCAATGGAAGCTTCGTGCGCAACTTTTTGGAAGCTGGCATTTGAAGGGCGCATGGGCCGTAACGCAGGGACAGCCAGGCCAGGCCTGATTGACAGCCTTGCCCTGACTGCAGGGCCTTTTGGGAATTCCCGTACACCATCCAAATCAGAATCGCAGAACGATTGCATGCCCTGAACAGCGGCCACTAGGTGCAGCTTGGTGGATTCCGATGGGTTGAGGAGCCTGTTTTCTTGAAGTTCTGGGGATATCTGAGTGACTCCGCACTGACTGGGCTTGGTCGAAGGTTGCATATAGCTTCTCTCCGAGCAGGGGAGGTGCGACTTTGCAGGCTACGTGCCTCTCGTGTTCACTGTAATGAGAAGGGTGTTCGATGTTTCTGGCATGCTACCATCTTACTAATTTGGCATAAATGGCACAGAGGTTGATCCTCAAAGGTGGAGTCTGGGTTCCGCTTCTCCGCTCCACTTTGTGGTTTGGGCGCCCTCATCCCTCATGCCAATAGCTTGGCGAACAGTGAGCACATGAGTCCGGAGTCCGGATTGAGGCCTTACTGCATCACCGGTACATTGGCGATGGACTGCTGCAGGTGCTGCTGCTGCCACTGCTACTGAACTAGATGATGATCATCATCATCATGACTGTTTCCAGAAGCGGTGCAGGAGAGGGTAGTAGAACCGGATGGTGCTGGCGATGATGGATAGCATGCCTAACCTTTCTTTTCATTGTTCGGAGTACTGCAGACCAACAGAGCGAAAGCCGGATACTGAGCTTGAATAGAGCTCCGGCCAGCAACGAAGCTGCCTCAGGAGCATGTACAACAGAAGCCATGTCGGCGACTCAGGGAGTGCGAGTGAAGAAGGATTGGGCCTTCTGTTTCGACGAAAGACGGATGGTGCAGAACTGCGGACGAGGCCTCAGGGCTCAATGTGAGAGTTCCGCCCAGGACCGAGGAAGAGTGACAACACCAGGCAACCAGGCGAGATGCGAGGAAACTTGCACCAGATGAGTGTATCTGTATGAACGGTCGAACAGGCGAATGAACAATTGTTATGTGGGCTTACATGTATGCGTGCATATACATGTACATATATATATATATATACAGAGGGGGAGAGAGAGAGAGAGAGAGAGAGAGAGAGAGAGAGAGAGAGACAGAGACAGACAGAGAGAGAGAGAGAGAGACAGAAAAAAGTGACGAATAAGTAGATCTCCGTCACTTCGCGGCAGCATATTGTGAAACCCCCAATCTTTGTTCCCAACACCGTATATGCTCCGTACAGGTGGACGGTGTTGCGTGCATAGGGGTTCCCCTCATGATTTATGTGCCTTTGAAACAAGCACCGTTTAGATTTGGGATCTGTTTTCGCATCCTTTGCTTCCTGAAGCTCCTTTATCGCCACCAGCGTCACCGACCCAGGTGAGTCCAACGCAGCTTCAGCTGCAGGTGGACTTGGACCACATGCAACTTCGGCCCCTCGGCTGGTATGGCATACACGGAGAGAGTATGATGCGGAATGTACACTTATTGCATTGTGCCACGCATTCTTCCTTTCCTTGTGCACATGTGGTGCTCGCAATCGGTAGATACACACCCCGTAAACGAATTCCGTTGTTTCCGTTGCTGGTGTAGAATTCAGCCAGCTGGCATGTCCTGGGCACCACAAGTCTCCTCGCATGTGCAGCGTATCGGGAGCAGCTGGAACCATGCAAAAGACTCCGAAGGTTCGGATATGACAGCTAGATTTAAAGCTAAACGCCGAACGACAAGTATTGGAGGTGTTGCACATGTCGCCCCGGACTGTACTAAGACGAACGTGGCCTTGTGCTGTCTAACTGACCATCTGGGTGACTTACCATGTCCATGGCAAGATCACGTTGGGGTGTGCATACATGTCTCTTCTTGTTGTGAAGCTTGCATGCAAAAAAGCCCGGAACACGATGAAGACCCGCGAGGTACAACGTCTTGCCTCCGGACTTCAATTTCACAGTCAGGCGATTGGCATCCAAAAGCTACCTGCGTGGGCGCCCGGATTCACCAGGGACGACGAAGCGCTTTTTTGCAGTGAAACATTCTAGCAAGAGCGGGATGAGAGAAAATTGCGTTCTGTGGCTTCGGAGTTAAGAAGCCGGCAGATGAGATGGGTGCTGGATGTGGCCATATAGTTCCATGCCTAGTAGGACTATTCGAGACCGCGACATCAAGGTTTCCTCAGCCCGGAACTTGATGTAGCATCCCATATCTGTCCATGCGACCGGAATGTTGCGGATTCGCAAAATCCGCTTCAAGACACAAGCTCTCACTGTTTCATTTCAGGATGTTTTTTTGGCTTGAGGGTCCATGTTGCAACCTCCGCCCGGTATACCCACATCGCAGCCTGTCCAGGCACCCGCTGAGGCTCAGGATTTACGGGGCTCGAAGCAGATTCTTCATCGTGAGATGCATCGTTGCGAGGTACGGGCCTGCAGAATTTCAACCCAAAACTTCGGTGTGGCTCCTGAAGCCAAACACTGCTCATAAAAACAATTTTCCGGATGCTCTGAGCAGGGCGACGGTTAATTCCTGATTTGTTCCAAACCCGCATGAGCAGAAATGGCAACGGCAGGGATGTGGGACCGCGGCTCCACACAGCTCTGCCAAAGCAGTCACGGAAGTGATATGCCCTATGTCTACGATAGTTGTAATCTCAGATAAGGCCGAAAGTGGCATGCAACGGAGCAGGGCCGTTTGACATCTTGCCGGTCCGGTGGTGATTGAGCTCATAGATGAACTCCACAAGCGTGTCAATCCTTCGTCCTAATATTAGCTCTGGCATTCAAGACTCAACTTTGAACCTTTGAGCTGCATCTGCAGCTCACGAAGCCACACTCCCTGCAAAGCGACCCTGCTGGCTTCGCAGCAATGCTGAGGACAAATCCCAAACCAAGTCCACAAACCTGAAGGCTGCATGTATTGGGGAAGATGCGCCAAGCAAAGAAAGCACCTAAAGCAAGTTCCCAACCCTGGGGGCCTAAAAGGAGCTAGCAGCCCTAATTAGCAGAAAGTTTCCCCCAGGCCTCGCTGTTTGATCGTGTCGCCACTGCCGGACTTCGCAGAGAAGCTGAAGCAGAACTTCAGTCAGGTGCTTCCAGACTACTGTAAGTGCTTGGGCCCGTCGAAATGGCTTCGGGCTTGGAAGGGCTTGATGTATAGGGAAGGCTTTTGGGCATGAGTGCTACGGTTGATGATATAAATCCTGCATTACCCATAATAAGGAATATACCATACGTAATTCCCATAGTTTAGGGTCCTTAGGGTAATGCAGGATTTATATCATCAACCGTAGGTTCGACGGTTTGCTGCACCTTTCCGGCAAGACCTTGAGAGCCCTGATGCCCTGAGGGAGGGGCCTTCGGGGAGCTGTCATGTGGGTGGTTGTCAATATTAGGGTCCCCTTTTGGGGTCCTTATTATAGTACGGCACCTAATATTTAGGGTACCCAAAAAGGGGCCATAATTTTGTGTCAACCACCCTTGTGCTGTAGCACGGTCCGACCTGGGATTTCTCTGGCTTCTGCATTTGAAGAATGGGAGTTTCCGAAAATAGGGGTACCGTATTTTGGGGGGTCCTTATAACAAGGATCCTACTACTGAAGGTACTATATTAGGGTCCCCTATTTTTGGAAACTCCCGAATCGGGATCGACCCCCAAACCAGTGCAAAGCAGGCACCCAATGCAAACCGACCTTTCGAGCCAAGCCTTGTGAAACTCAGCCACACCGTACCTTGACCTACCCAAAACCTACTTTTTTGTAGGGTCCCTATAAATTCCATATTAGGGTTTATATGAAGAACCTACAAACAAGTAGGGTTTGGTAGGTTAAGGTAGATGTTTCTTTTTCAACCTCTTGGAGGATCGAAGAAGCAGGTAGTCCTATCTAACGAACCGCTAGTTGTTGCATGAAACCACCTGGCACGCATCAAGAACCGCCCACTGCTGCCAGTCACTGTTCGACTACGTCCGGCTTGGAGGCAAGACGATTATTTTGGGGGTCCTTATAACAAGGATCCTACTACTGAAGGTACTATATTAGGGTCCCCTATTTTAGGGAAACTCCCGAATGGATCCTGGGATCGCCCAATAACAGACGGCAGAAAACCATATGATGAGCAGCGATAGAACACTGAAGTGCAAGGGCACGTCCTGTGCACCAGAAGTGCATCGATACGCGCTAGAAACAGTGTTTGGCCCAAGAAGTCCGGAGGAAGAGAACCGTCACCGAATTGGGGCATAAGCTGCTTCCTGATGCACGCTTCTGCTCTTCGTGTGTCCTTCTGTAGCTTTCTTCCTTTGTTCAATTCAATTCTCTCTCCGCCCCGTAGGAATCTAACAGCATGGGCCTGAGGTTCAAAGTGTATTGCCGATTCATGCAAATGGATCTAATATGAGGATCCAAGGCTTTCCTGCCGCCTTGGATCTCTGTAGCTTCGAGGGTTGCGCGGTCTGATTGCAAGCCACGAAGCCCGGCTTCAGTTTCGGACGACATGTCTGTCAGCTACGCCTGAAGGTCAGCTGTACGTCTTGGGCAGTTCCACCAATGCCGAGATTATGTCCCAGGACTGAGCGTGAATCCTGTACTTCTGTAGTTGCCTTTTGGGATTACCTAAGAGGATTCTAAGTATGAACCACCAAAAACGAACTACTATAGGGCCTATGGGCAATGCCACCTTCCTCTGGAAAGCAACTGGTTCGAAGCGCCTCCAGCATGAAGTTCATGCTCGGAGATCGATTCCGGCAAAGCTACATGCTAGCCTGATTTGCCGAGTGGATGTGTGTGCAACTGTTCGGAGATGTTGGTTTTCCAAAACGCGGGTTGTCTGAAGGATTGGAAATCTGTGACATGGACATGAACCCCCTTAAACTTTCTGGTGCTAAAGAGTTTCATAGAACTCAATGTCTAGAGTTTAAAGACCTTATACCGGGACAAGATGTAGATCTATAGACATATCCGTAGCATGGCTTCCGATATGCCAATCCTCGACAATTGGAGGGCGTAGTACGGTATCCATGTTTTGCAAGCTGCTTCTACATCAAGAGATGAGAGTGGGCATGATTCGATTGCCAAATCGGACTACGATTCCGTGCCATTCACAAATCAGAAGAACATTACATTACTACCAGATGTATTGAGCTCGTGTCGCGCTCAAGGCTGATGCCAGGCGTCTCTGGAACAGTCTTTGTGGATTGGTGAGTCAAAGCCACCTTCAAGCAACATAGCCGGTGAAAAGGAAGAACAAACGAGACAAGTCAGATAAGTGTTGCACATGCAGCAGGAACAGAATGCAGACGTCAATGTCGGTGCATATGATTTCCCCTCTGTTTTGAGTTCCGGGTTTGGGGTTTAGGACTGGATGCATGACATTGGATTTATGTCCTGACTCGTGACATAGTGGCTCGTAAGCTGCATCGAAAGACATGTCTTTGATGTTGTGAATGGGCTTGACCTTGAAGCCTAAGCCGGCAGAAGTAGCCCTATAGTTTGATGTCCAGAGCACAGTGGAGAGATCTTGATATACATGCACCATGCCAGTTAGTTCCTGACCCCACCTACTGAAGAAGGCTCTGATGTCTCTTCCTTTCCAGTTGGACCCAGTCGTTGTGAGACCTTGCTTGCGACTGCGAGAGTCGAAACCCAGGGGCCTCAATAAGTACCTATACTACTTCGGGGGCTCCTTATCATAATCATCGTAGAGTGCGCCCCAAAACCCCCTCTTCTAATTGTTAAGGCCCCTATATACCGAAGCCGCAGGCCTTCAATCTCAGCTTGGAAGCCGCGGAGTGGCGATCTCAGCTTAGGGCAGGGACCGAGGATTCGGGGTGAGTCATGAGCTCTTGGGGTCGAAGGGTTTTGGGCTCTTGGGGTCGAAGGGTTTAGGGTTCAGGTGTGGTTGAGGGCTTCGGAGCAAGTCAGAATGCGTGTAAGCCAAAAGCCACACTAACCCAAGGAGCAACTCGCAGCAGAAACCCTCTTGAAAGTGCTGCCACAATGCATCTTGAGGGCAAGGGTGGTTTGCATAGGGACATTGCCTGTTCATTAGACAACCATGCCGAGGATCAAGCCTCCGTGCACCGCAACCCAACGTCACCATCTTGCCACGTGGACGTGAAGGGCTGAACGTACGGCATTCAAAAGACATGAGAAAGTATAAGTATAAGAGTGCCGTTCACATGCCCCATCTTCGTGAGTCCTGGCCGCGAATATTTCTACAAGGACCCGAGAGGATGCCGGCTTCGGTAAAGCGATCTATGTTGGGTTTGTGCGGCCGAGGACTGGGAACGAACAGGTACGCACGATGCCAGCGTCCGAAGCTCAGTTCATGCCGAAGCATCTAGATCGTATCGTCGGCTTCCGAGACTCTGGGGCTGTGAAGATTTAGTAACTGCGCTTGGCTTTTCTCCTTTGAGCCCTCACCTGAACAGCAGGTGGAGGTCTGGCTCGTAGGGAGGCGCTTCGGAGAAACCTCGTTCAACAAAAAACATTTCAAGACATGAGTCCAGTGGCAAAAGAAGATTTCAAGAAAAGATTTGCTGAATTCTCCTCACGCCCCTCAGGGGCCTCGCGAATCTGCCTGAAATTCATACACTATTTCGGTCATGCTCCTATATGTTCATGGTGAACTCTTGGGAGGGTAGCAGAGAGAAGGCGCAACTCCCGCGTAATACGTCTTGTGGTGAAGCTTCGGGCCCTCGGGGCTCAGCTTCAGGGAGACCCACTGCAAGTCGGTTAAACCTGGCTGCGACTCTCGCTGCGACCTCGTGCCGAGAGTCCTCGTCATGGGGAGGACGACTGCCAAGCGAATTGAACCCCCTCATGACATATCGACCACATTGATATTCTGCAAGCATGGTCCTCGTTGCATCCAATGCCGAAGGGTGCAAACTGCCGGCAGAGAGTTGCAGAAAGCTTTTCGTGAACATGGCCAGGACGGTAAGGAAGCCGTGCTTGCACAGACGTGGCTAGCATCTCTTTGCTGGAGTTATGAGTTTTGGATCACTTAATGAAACAGCGCAGAATTTCAATCCGGTATTCCATCCTCATTCCTTTGATGTTTCGGTGCAGCTGATTCGAGCCACAGATCGGACAGCACGGCCTGCATTTTGTTCATAGGAGGCCAAAAGGGGTTTTAGCCTATGGGGGTTTAGTAGGGATTTGGGTTCCCATATAGGGTTCAGATTAAGGAATCCCTACCCCAAAGAATCTTAAACCCCCTCCTTGGCCTCCCGTGATTTGTTCTCCAGCACCACAGAAGTGAATGCCTCTCCAAACCATCTTAAAGGAGTGCCCGGTGCCTGTTTTCGAGGTTGTTATCCTTTGAAGGTATTTACTCGAGGTTTGGGGATCCTCTCTCGCTCTCTATGTATTGTTATATATTTGTATTTACACACATACATGCATACACACGTATATATATATATATATATATATATGTATGTAGACATAGGTTCGATATCCTGAACAGATACTTGACATTTTTCGTCCCTCCAGACCTCGCCCCCTTAACCTGAAAGCGGTAGCTGTGCTCAAAATGCCGGCGTGCCTGCCAGGCCAAATGAAGCACTCGGATTCGACAGTGGGCTGCCGACGACTTTGCCAGCCCGGATCTTACAGGGTTCCGGGTTCTCCTGTCGTGGGCAGGTTCAATGCTTGTGGGAGAGGTCCAGACTTCAATCTGGGTGCTGAGGTTCGCTGATGGACAATAGAGTCCATGACACTAGAAGTCGTGTTGGGTTCAGTCGTAAGGTAGTAGAAGACATAGTAGCATCGAGTAGGTGCTAGAAGCGAAGGTGGTCGTGGTAGTGGTTGCAGCAGTAGCTGGTTTCAATGGTAACTAATCGTCGTAGCGGTGCCACAAGCAGTAGCATGTCAACTGGCATCAGTGTCGTTGTATGTGGTCATGTCATGTTGTGTCATCAAGCTCGTGCTGTGAAGGTCATAAACCAAGTCTTGAGCTTGCAGATGCCGAGTACGACCTCCATCAGGCTCATGTGCCACGGATTGTAGGCCTTTTGGGAGGTAGGGTGTAGAGGGGTTCGCGAGGCAGCAGTCAGGCGCCCCAGCATTTTGCAGGGGCTGGCCCCGCACAGCGAGAACGCCTGGCTATCGACATCTAATACCCCACTGACTATGCAACAAAAGGGCGCTAAGTTGAAATTGCAGCTTCCCTGCGACAGTGTTAGTTCAACTTCCCGCCGGGCCTTCTCAAGGACAAGCTGCCCTGGTCGTACAAAATAGTGCGTATCGTTCAATATTTTTCAAAATTTTCTTCTGATAAACATATGCGCAAACTTTCGCGGTTTGGCCTCGACATCAGCGCCTGCAGCTGCGGCACGCAGTGTTCGCGGGCATGGCTTTGATCTAAGAGGCCCTACTCAGCTGGGACTGCTTACTTCCTCTGTGTAGCTGTCAATCTACGAGGGCCTCCATGAATCATAGAAGGAAGTTCCGGTGTTTTCCTCATGTTCAAGCTCTTTCAAGCAGCTGTGAGACTAGCATGTGGAGTTTCGGCCTGCGGATTTACTTTCAGCCACTTCGCGAAGCCATGGAATCCACTTTGTCTGCAGCTTTCCTCGCCGCAGTGGCATTGCTTTACTTGAGTAGCCTGGCCTTTGGAGGGGTGGTGAAAAATTGCTGATAATACGACTCACATACTAGTACAGAGGCAGTGAGAGTAGTCTAGTGTCGTAATAATATTCGTTCTGGTAGTCGTTGTTATCAGTAGCCGCTGCAGGAAGTAGGAGTAGCGGTAGCAGTAGCAGTAGCAGCAGCAGAAGGTAGGGCTGGTCACAGTGGTGATATATGGGAGTTTCCGAAAATTAGGGGTACCTTATATGGGGGTCCTTATAATAAGGATCCTACTATTTGGGGTACTATATTCGGGCCCCCTATTTTCGGAAACTCCCATATATAGTAGTGCCCAGCAGCACCAGTAGCAGTGGCAGGCTTAATCACATCTGGTCATCGCAGAATCATTTGGGCATGTGCACACGTCGGCAGCACCAAGCACAGAGTACTCGTAGCCTACATGCCCTACAGACCTCCAGTTGATGTGTAATACCTTGACTTCCAAGGTACAGCCACGAAACTCAAATGCCGCCCGACCAGCCACACGCTGAAGGTTGCTGTGGGCTCAAGATTTTGGGTTCGAGCATTTGGAGCAGCTTGATTTTGGTCGGCTGCACGGGCGATTTCGAACCCAATTCAGCTAGACATCGAAAGAGGTCCTCAGACTCGAATGCGACATTGCGCGTGTTTACATCGGCAGATGCCTAACCATGTCACTCACCTGTTCCACGGGGGTGTGGCTATAGCAGCCTGCTCCGGTGTATCCTGCTCCGTTTGTCGCAGCCCGTGAAGGTCCTGATTAACATAGGCCCCAGGGCGGGTAGTTCGAAATTCTACTGCATCTAAGATCACAGGCCAGGCTGCCAAAAGACGTCGCAGCCGGGAGAGATCTTTGCTAGCCTTCGTGGTCGTGGTTTTGCGACGAGCACTTCAGACTCTAGACCTGACCTTGCGAGCCGCTGCCAGCTAGTCATCATCACTGCAGCATGAGATGCCCACCAATGGCGAAAGCCGAATAAAGCCTTTGAGATTCCTTGGGGCCTGTGTTTGAGCCCATCCTATGTCATCCCGGCGACATGTCCGAAAGGCCATCTGGACATCGTGCCTCCAGTCCCGTACCAGTTGGAGAGATGCGGATGAGCTTCGATTGCGTGATTTGTCCGGAAGGTGAATGCATGACAGGTACCGAATCGGGCTGTGCGGGTGCATGAGTAGCCGTGACACTGTCTCCGGTTTGGCAGCCTGGCCCTCCAGATCTGCAGAAGGAAGTAAGTCCTAAACCGAAGCCTCAGACCAAGAACGGCACTCAACCGGGTCTGTCGATCTTAATGGCCAGGAGATCGGTTTTTGTAATTCGGTTTCTGTTGTTCTCATGCTTGTTGTTTTTTGTCTGTGCCTTCTTGACCAATATCATCCCGGTTAGATGTTGTTCGTGTCGTTATTCACGGCACGATATGTGACTAAGTTGTACCTCGCGAACACTTTACTCGCAAGTGGTAGTGTCTGCTGAGTTTGCTGTTTGCTTGTCGCCTGGGCTGAAAGGTCATTGTGTGCGCGTCAAGCTAGCCCAGGCCGTACCGCAAATGTTGCCATGAGCAGCCTTGCTTATGTGTCCTACAAACGTGGTATCTAGTTTAGGCACTTATGTGTTGCGGCGAACCTGGCCGGGCGAGCTACAATCAAGCTTGCGTCAAAAGGCTCTTATGAGACGAGTTTTTTTAATCTAGAACCTCGGTCCTACGTCTTAGACAAGTGTTCCTATATTCTAGGGTAAGGTTGAGCTAAGCACAACAGCCTGGTACTGCAGCCATGTGCACATGATCCCTAGTGACGGAAACGGTTCGGGCTTGAGTACTTAAGACTCGAGCTAACATGAAGCCACGAAATCTGGGCCACCCGACACCTTGAACCCAGGTATTCATGAGCAATGGGCGAACATCTACCGAAACTGGTGTTCGGTATTGACCCTGTCCCTGGAACTGCGGCTGCACTTGATTTTTGCTTCTTTGACGGTTTCTCCTCCTTGGGTATCTAAACAGTAACAGTGTTTAGTGCCTGGGTGTTGTCCTGCGTGTTCGGGAGTTGGGATGCATTTGCTGTCACTGTTGGCCTGGCTACTTGCTAGCCTGTCAGCATTTGTCTGGCAAGGTACGGGTGTGTATATACAGGGCGAGGGAGGTCAAAAAGCAAGGTGACCTTCGGTTCCGAGCCCGATTGAGTCTGGGAAACTGGCAAAAAGACGGGGATCAAGAAGACACACAGTGGGCAACCCGAAATAGCCCAGCACTGCAGGAAGCGGCTGGTTTCGATGGAAGAGCCTAGTCGTGACGGCAACCGAGCAACAAGCAAAGGGTGCAACTTTCGTCAATACAGTACCGCTACTAGGACTTTTTAAGGGGTACAAGAAGAGTAGTTCTCTAAATTAGGGTACCTTTGCCGGGTCCTGTTTAATTATAAGGGTGCTCCACTATTTAGGTCCCCCAAAAAGGAGTCCATCGGCAGACCATCAGGGCCGAAACGCTTCGTCTCACATACTGGGGGATTCAGGGCGGGCACGCCTCGCGCAGACGGTCGGGTCAGAAAGGAGGGGAGCGGCCAGGCAATGGAGGAAGGAACCAAGGAAGGAGGGGAGTCGAGGAAGGAGACCTGTTTCGGCATTTCGGTGTTGTGCCACCTCGCGCCGGCTTTGCATTTGCCCCAGAAGTTTGACCGCAGGATCGTTGTTGCATCTTGTTGCAGCAACGCTCCGAGCTATGCTTTATAGCAGCTCCCGGCATGTCGAATGCAGACAAGCCAAGCTGTCATCGAAAGCAGCCCTTGGCTGCTTGTTTTTTTTGTCAAGTCTCCAATTCTATCTGCTTCTTGACCCTGTGAGTCTCCTCTCCCAAACTTCCAGACCGCGTTAACCCTGGCAATCCGAACCCTCACTGCAGGAAGTCTACGGAATCTTGTTCGCTGTCCTCGCTGTTGCAGCACCGGGCGCCAAGCCCGCGTATAAAGACATGCACCTTTTCCGCAATGATAACGCTATGAAGTTTTGCGAGCTGCACGGATGGCAGCGGGGACCGGGGGACATGAGAGAGCCAGAAACCTGTGTTCGATGTTTGTGGGAGTTCTAGCACGTTGCGCTCCTCAGCCGGCCTGCATATGGGTGCTTCACTCGGTAGGTAAAACACGCAGACGTTTAGCCGTAGCATGTCTTTTGAATTCACAGATATTCACAGCCAAACTCCTACCCAGCATCTCAGCTCTCAGAAGGGAGTCCTCGATCCGATGGCTCGGCTATATTACAAAGCAGCTCTAGCAGAAGGTGAATCGCGGCCGAGACCCCTCATGCATCAGCGACGTCAGCCCATATCGAGTATTGACTCTGCAACTTTATGCACTGCTCATTTCTGCCTGATCATGCGACCGACAAATGTATCCCTGACATGGCGAAGAGCTGTCACTGTTCCACAGAAGGACACTATAGGGGACCGAATAAGGGTACTGTATGGATATTAGGACTACAAAACTATCGTAAGGGTATGTATGTTGGCCTGGCTTGCTTTGGATCTCGGGGACGCACTCTGGACTCTGGGAACTCATCCGGGCACGCTTTGTGTGGCTCAGACACTTAGCTTCCAACTGCAGTTTTACAGCAGCTTTATGTGAACGCCCACATGTTGTGCAACTGCTTTCCAAGTAAGCTGAAGATGAAGACCACGACCACATGGGTGTGGTGCGAAACCTCGAAAGAATCGCGTTTACGAGACATGTTTCCTGTCTGGAGTCTTAGAGTCTGTCGCAACCATGAGCTTTGATCCGTATCATCCGGTATACTGAATCACGAAGATATACAAAAAAAGCTTACATACTGTACTTCTTTCTAACTATGAGAGAAAGAGGCATCCACCACGATCGTCCAGGTTGGTTTGTAGTGCCTGCAGTGCACTCATCGGAGATCATTTGGCATGTTGTCTCGTTGTGTCGCAGTGTGGTTATCGAAGGGTTCACACCCGTAGAAGAACGTTTGGATGGCATGGTGAATCCCACGAATCCGTTTTTGAGATCAGAAGGACGGGTAGCAGGCCACGAAGAAGTCGAAGCTGGCACTTGCCGCTAAGTGACTTCGGGTTTCGACGTGGTATTTGGGGTGGGCTCGCTGCTGAAGCAGTACATAACCCCGAACCTCACGCTTCGCCCGGCTTCATCGGAGCCCAAGCCGCCAGACGGCAGCAAGGCATATCTGGAGCATAGCTGCCGGCCTCTTCACTTTGGCGTGACTCGGCTCAAGTTCGAGGGGCGAGCACAAAAGTCAATTCAGGCTTACGGGCTGTTTGTTGTCGTCCTTTTTCCCCAACGTAGATTCGACTTCAAGTTGGGGCTGACGCGATGATTGCCAACTGGTTCCGGCCGATGGGTTTGGAGAGTAGAG